AGCCCGGTGGGAAGCCATCGCCGAGTTAGTGGCACAAACCTGCTTTGACTAAAGGTACAATTTTAGAAGAGAAAGTACTTATTTCCGCATTGCAACATCTGTCAAAAAACAAAGCAAAACAAAACACATACTTGTTTTATTTTGCTGCAGGATTATACAAGTTAATGCAAAGGAATAAACCGTTTCAAACCATGTTTGGTATCAAGAAAAAAATAACGGCAATAATACCAGAAGTGGGAAATAACAAAAAGCAAAACTTGTCATTATCATTTTTTTTTCCAAGGAAAAAAAAAAAAAAATTGTGATTCAGAGCTCTGATTTCAAGGCCGAGTCCTAGCGGAAGCTTTAAATGAAACATTAAAGGACGAGCCAGGAGCTAATCCCCACACATAATTCATCTTTCTTTCGGGAGGCGGAGCCTGCAGATGGCAGCAGGATGGCCAGATGTTCCTGGCAGCCATTACCTCCTTGTGCACAACCCCCAGCATCTCACCTCGACATTCACTCTCCCCCGCACAGCACGCAGGATTCACTCTCGTCTCTCAGCATGCCGGCATGATGCCAATGTCTCAGTACACTCCCAAAAGATGCGCAGCATCAGAAGACGCAGCTCGTGGCCATCTCCCGGAACATCCTGGTGTGCATGCGTGTGTGTGTGTGTGTGTGTGTGTGTGTGTGTGTGTGTGCGTGCGTGCAAAATGAAGCTCATGGACCACATTTTCTTTTCTATTGACATTTTGTAAAGGTAGTTCAAAATTACAATAAGACTTAAATGTTTTCAATTTGACTTTTTCCTTTTAGTTTTTTTTTGTTGTATTAACTGAAATTTCCACGTGATTCTGTACACTGAAAAAAATGGCTTTACCCCTCTGGCAGTTTGAAACACATAAGAATTAAAATGCACTTCAACTAAATAAAAAACAAATTTCAAGCATAATTGAAATGTAATTGAACTTTAAAAAAAAAACAAAAAACGTGAGGATAAAATGTATCGAAAATACCGTCGTGCCTGTGAACATGCTTGTACCTTTAAGAGGCGGGGCTTGGTGGGTGTTTTTGCGTGCGTGTGAGTGTATGGGCGTGAGCTGTGGCCAACGGCAGCTTCTACGTTGCGTTTGGATGATTGTTGAAAAGTGCATTGGTGACCGTGGCTCTCCTTTCCCGCGTGCAAGGACGATGCTGAGAGAACAGTAAAAAAAATTGATGATGTAAATGCTTGGCGGGCTGGATTGAAGAAAAGAGCGGGCCATACATTGCCCATCTTGCATCAGTGTCTACTTAGCAGAAAAAGCTTCTTTCACTGGTCCTGAGATTCCACCAACGGACAAGTTCTTCTTCTTCTTTTTTTTTTTTTTTTTAAGTTGAGACTTGTCCGTTTTCTTTCATGGAGCACAAGGTTGATGTGTGCACAAAGTGTGTGTGCGGCATGTGTTCACTTGGAGACTAATTGGCTCCCTATTGAGCCCTTATGAGTTTAGCTGACTGCCGTTTGTTTGAAGATCCGGACAGAAAGGTTGAAGATCACCATTCGGTTGCTCATTTTTAATTCTGCTGAGTCTAATTGAGCCCCTCTGGATTTGTACCTCCGAAAATGAGGGAACCACAAGAGAGCGATTGGACTTGACTGGCCAGGAATGCATAGGAATGCTTATTAAATATTTCTTGTGACTAGCAACATAATCGTAAAAAAAAATTCTATTCAATTCACGAACACAGTATTTGCTTGTTGGGTTTATGGAAGCCCTCCTGGAGTCACCATTTATTGTTCTTTTGACAATTTAACCCTTTCGTGCACCGTCCAACCTGATAACATGATAAACTGTCCGCTGTGGTAACCGTTGCTGGGGTCAAACTCAAGGCCCGGGCGCCCAGATCTGGCCCGCCACATCATTGGATGCGGCCCGCGAAAGCAGCTCAAACATGTCAACTTCCATGATCATTTCTAAAATGTCTTCCAAAATGTTAAATTCTCACATGGAATAAATAAGAGATATATTCTCAGCATTTCCTTGTTACCAAACCCCTCATGAGAGTAACTTAAAAAAATAGTTGAATCAACAGTTTTTCTTGACTACGGTACTTGATATGGTTTCAGTCATAACGGCCCTGCAAGTGAAACGGTAACTAAAATCTGCCCCGCGACAAAAATGAGTTTGACACCTCTGCTGTAAGGGTTGATCACCTTTTTTATTTTTGGTCAGGGGGTGTTTAGGTGAAAATGCACGTATTTTAGTGGTTCTGATCGTAACCCGCTGCCAAAATCAGTCGAATTGAGTTGAGAATTTTTTTTTTTTCATTGATTGACACAACATTTGTTGGACAAGTCCATCAGGACACCAAAAAAAAATGTCTCAATGACCCATGCCTAAAATTGACCAGAAAGTCAACCATTTTGGTTGGAAGCAGCGATTTCAGGGTCAATCCGGGGCTCTCCGTGCAATTTCCCCCTCAAAATTTGCTCCTGACACCAGTTTCAGCAGTTCACCTGAAATCAGGTGGACATGTTTCTCACAACTAGGACACGCAAAAAGTTGAATCCAAACTGTGCCGTTGCGTCGTGTGTACATGGCATACTGTACCTCCATCGCTATTGGTGGATCGGAAGGCATCACGTGCTTCCCGCCTCATATGGGAGGAGGCGGACGGATGAAGCTGCGGCATCGCCAGCAACTTTCTCTCTCAATCTCTCTTTCTCTCTCACATCCGCGTGCGCGCACACAAAGTCGACCTGAATTCTCACGGTGGTCCCATCACGACAACTCTTTCGAGAAGTCAATCGTGCCGACCAGGACGTGACACGACGCAGACGAGGGACCGGTTGGGGTGAAAGTAGCCGAAATGGAAGCTTGTCCAAACTGGTATGTTGACTCACTTTTTTATTTTTAATGATGCAGAATTGACCGTTGCTGTTGTTTTCCCCGCAAATGAGACAGCAGACAGCTTTGCGTTGTGTTATTTTGTGTTTCGACTAAATCAGCTTGATGGACGGACGGCGCGTTCATGTTACGCTTGATTGAGTCAGAACTGGGACAGCTCTTGATCCATTTTGGGTTTAATCCAAATAGTTCTTCTCAAGGTTGAATGAAACGTGAAATCATCGCGAGTGTTTATCGTGAGTGAAGTCAATCACTTTAAAATCACAACATGTAGCAATCTTTTTTTGTTGTTGTTTTTTTTTTTTTAAATACATTTGGCAAGCAACCGTAATAAATCATAAATTTGTTTCCAATGTCTTTTCAGAAGTTATGCCAATGCTGCCTGAATATGTTAATGGCTGCACAATTTAAAAAAAAAATCCTTCGGATGAACATGCGTCGCTTTCGAGAAATGAACGGCACATATTTTTAGACGAAATTTGGGACAAAATTTACACTGAAAAATTTGTCAAAAACCGAATTGGACCGAAAACTAAAGTTCCACTGAACATAAAAACGTTGGCATGTCAAGCCCAGCGCGGTTCTCGCATTAGCGTGAGTCAAAAGAGAACTTCTGGTGGACGTTTTCGGGTCACCACCGAGCTCATGTCACCTTCCTTTTGGTGCGCGCCGTGACGCAGGTGAACCGAGAACGCAGTCAAAGTCGTCGCCATTTGTCAGCTGCAGATCGAAACAAGCCGTTAACGTCCCAGAAGCTATTAGCCGAACGCCTTAATGTTCCAAATGAATCATGCAAACACTTGCCGCTCATAAAAAAAAAACTCTGATTAAATTGAGCACTTGGCTGGCTCCCAAGCATCACCGAGCAGCCTTGGTGCTCAGGAGATAAAGAGGATGACCAAGTCTTCTCCACTGTTGGCGTTCTAGAACAAACTACGTTGCCAGAAGTGCTGCAATGGCGCTACAAAAATTAAATTCATCTTTTGGGATGAATTTAAACCGCCTATTTTGACCAAGCCAGGACTAGAATGTAAGGAGTAAAAAAAAAAAAAAAAAATCCAAAGTAAAATATGTATCTGAAAAATCTACTTTAGTACAGTGGCAATTTCCTGAATTCAGCGATGATGTCATCGGTGTATGGCGGCGAGGAGGTGCCGAGATTCGGGCGTTGGAGGCGAACAAATAACGAGGGGCTAAGAGGATTATGAAGGGCTCTCCAAAAAAGCAATATGCTGAAATGATGAAACAATAGATTATAAAAGATCCTGGTAAAAAAAAAAAATAAAAAAAAAAAGCAGGCAGCAGTAATCTGTTTTTAAAAAGGGATCGGAGCGAGCAGTCGGCTTCACGCGTTGCCACGGCGACACACAAGACGCTTCCGCTGTGACTGGCAGCTCTGTGAGCATATCAAAGCCGATCAAAACGACTTTCAATGTCAATCCAAAGTCAGCTTTTTACGCTTTGTTTTGGATTCCGTACTTGTCTCACTTCATACCACATTCAACTTGTGTCACACAGAATGAGCGCCATCACTTTTTGAACTCCAACCTCTGAACTGTAACTGTCTCCTGTCAATCTGCCTTAGCCCCCCCCAGCCCGCCAAACACACACACACACACACACACACACACACACACACACACACACACACACACACACACACACACACACACACACACACACACACGGGCAGTGTCAGTTTGCGACATCGACCTCATTTATCAGGTGGCGCTGCGTTGAGACCAATTCCCTGGCCTCATTAAAGGGCTGCTATTATTAATATTGCCGACGCAGCACTTTACGCAATGTGGAAGCGTGTCTTTGAGGCAAACAGATCCATTCTGGAAGCGACTTTCCAGTACGTTCACGTCACTTACACACAACTGTTTGATGATTTGTTTTTTCTTGGTCATTTGATTTATTTACTGGTTGATTATTATTTATTTACTTCAGCTTTTGTCATTCGGAAGAACAAATGTATCCCCCCCCCCCCACTCCCCACCCCACGTCATTTCTGGGTCGCTGCAGTCCTGTCAAGTACTTGGCGTGATGCGCAAACACTTTTAAGATTTTACAGGGGGGGTAAAAAGTCTTTGTTGCTGTTTTGTAACATCAAGCAGCAGGCTGGTAAAAGCCAGTCCTCAGGGAATGGCCTTTTTGTGGCGCTCATAAAGCAGCTGCTCACTTCTGCAGTGTTATGCTAGTGTTCTGCAGGCAAATGTTATTTATGTATTATTTCGTAATATTTGCTGCTTGCACGCACCGGGCCCCCCGGGGGCCGCCACACTGCGGCAGGTGCCACAAGCTCATCAAAAGAGGCACGCAAACACAAGACGACCACACGCGGAGTGTTCGAGCCACTTTAATTGGAGGATTTGAGGCTCTCGTCGTTCTCACTGTGAGCTAAATATATCGCGGCGGCGACAAGTGTCGCAGAACAGAACCGGGCCACGTTGGGCTGGCATGTTGTGGGGCCCGGAGGATGGACGGCTGTGTTGTCGGCGCACCTGTTGCCAAAGAGGCTAACATCGGACCTTTGGTCAGCGACAACAGCAGAGGAAGTCACGAAACGGAGAGCAGGATTTGACGAATTGCGAGAGAATGGTCGTTCGGGGTTTTGAGCAAGAGGGCGATCGATCGTGCTGATCCGACTGAGACGTTAGAGGGCATCAAGACCAGGGGGGGTGCGTATTTGGCCGTGTTCATGAGAAAATAGATGTTGGTGTTTGTGTGTATGTGTGTCTGTTTTGGCCTTGAAAAATTTTTGATTTTTGTCATTAAAACCTGAGCTGATTGGACACATTTTCAAAACATTGCGTCGGTGCGGAAAACTAACACTTGAAATAATGTTAACCCTTTCATTCACCAAGAATGATAACCCGTAACCTGATAACCTGATAAGCTGTCCACTGTAGTAACCGCTGTTCCCTGAAAGGGTTCAACATGATGAAATGAATGATTTTGGATTTATAAATCCAAAAAAACGGTTCTTAACATTTTAGGAGTTCTTTTCAGAAGCGTGCTGAACATAAGAATGATTTTGAATAAAATGTAATGACTGTATTTTGTATTTTAAACCTAATGTAGATGCATAGTTCATTAAAAAAAGGCAAATTCAAGGAAGATTCATGTCATGAAGACAGGAATACAATATGAACGCGAGGGTGGGGAAAAAACGTCCATTCCATTCTTTTGCGTTCTAATTTGATGGACGGTGTCAGTCGGCACGGGCCGGCATGTGACCCCTGACCTGTTGTGACCCCTGGCTGCAGCATAGCAAGAGGGTATGTCAGGTCGTGCGGGGGCGGGGTTTCGAAGGGAATCTCTAATTGGCTGCATTTCAAATGCCGGACACCTGCCAGCCTGGATCTCTCACTAGCCCGGATCACAGAGGATCACAAGTCCAGATCCGCGGGAATCCCGGAATGTCCGTCACAGGGATGGACAGAACTCCCAAGTTTGCGGTATAGGGGGTGTTTCTAAATCCATGATAGCTGTTTCGAAATACTTGATGCATTATATCGGTGCAAAGACTGATAACTAACATATGCAATACTCACGAGCAGAGAGATAGCGTTGAATTGTTTTTGGGGTGTGGCTTCAACGGTGTCGGCCAAGAGTCCACCAAACCAAACCCAGCCCGCGACCCTCTCATCACACTCAATACAAACACTCGATTGTCTTCATTCGCGTTAGTGGCCCAAGCCTGTTAGCCGTCAGCTAGCGTTTCTCGTCGTAGCATGAAAAGCCTGCGACGAAACGGCGGTATATATGGTAGATTTTAACCAGCGTAGACTGTAAGCGCGTATATTTTCGCGGGTCAAACATGTCGGAACGTGAAGTCAAAAGAAATGGGCGCGGTGTTTGATTGACAGTTGACAGCACTTTCGCCGCATTCCATTCCGTGGACAACAAAGCTTCAATTTTCAGACTGGCTCTTATTTACGGTTCAGGTAATAATAGAACACGTGTCATGACATTATCACAGACATTTGGAGTTTATTCAGCAGGAGAACATGTCTCGTGTTGAATTAGCAATAGCAGGTCGAGTCATGTGACGTGTTCTATTTCAAGTTTATCAAACGATAGTCTGATGATTGAAGTGTCTACGACAACAGAGCCCGCCGAATGACGTGATGTGTATTTAGAGTTCAACAATTGAGCATGTCAAATGACATGTAAATAAAGTTTATGTCACATCAAAACGGTCTGTTGACATTACGTAATGTCATTCAAGTTGATTTAACAATCCAACCTGTCCTGTGACGTTATGGATTCAAACTTCATCTAACAATAGAACACTGCCGAAGCCAATGTATTTAAATTGATTTAACAGTGACATTCTCGCCGTACGCATGAGTTCACTCGGTGTGATGACAGACACGGGTGCCACTGATAACAAGCATGCCTGTCTGTGTGTGTGTGTGTGTGTGTGTGTGTGTGCGTGTATTTATTGTGGCACGTCTTGAACTCGACACTGTGAAACCGACACCGAGTTAGAGTTGAAGCCGATCTGTCCTCGGTTAATGACGTCTTCCACAAGCGGAGTTTGAACGTCAAGGAGCTGATCCGACAGACAACTTCAAGACAACAGATTGCGCTGATTTGCGAACTTCGACAATTAGTCCCTGAAAACGCCTTGGTGAACAGCAGTCAAGCCAAGGATATTAAAAAAAAAAGAAAAAAAGAAAAAAAACTTTTTTTTTTCAGAAACTGGAAAAAAAAAGGTCATCCATGCAAAACTCGATTCAACTCTTTCCAAATGCAAATAAATGGCACACATACGCACTGGCACTCTCCAGATGCCCGCCTCCAGGCGCCCCAAGGAGGCCTCATGTGCGCGGTTGCAGGCAAAACTTTTTAGCGGGAGAGTGGGCTCCGTCTCACATGGACGCCTCCGAGGGTGTTAAAGCCTCTTTTTGGCGGGATAAAGTGTCTTAAAAAAAAAAAAGTGAGATATGTTCTTTGATCATCAGTCTCATGGTGACTTGGTTGTTGGCTTGGCCTGGTGGGCAGAATTCGCTCATTTGCGTAACATCTGCTTCACACTCGACCTACATACATTTTCACTCAAGCTGGGAAAACGAAGCACGCAGCAGACTTGCCATGTAGCCTTTACTCACATAATACGCAGCAATGTGACGCGATGGATGTCCGTTTTGGTTTTTCTCAATATCCTTCATATCCAGTATGCTCTTTATCCTCACTTGTGTGTGTGTGTGTGGGGGGGGGGTGCTTAATTGTCTTACCAGTGAAGAAGAACAATGTACTAGTTAAGTAAATGGACCTGAAACAGCTTTTCAAAGCTACGAACTAGCTGCTAGGAAATGAATCTTTTACAAGGGCGCCTCCTTCCTTCTGTTTGCTTGCTTGTGTTTGTTTCACTCCTTTTGGTTTGTGACATTTAATCAGCAGGACGCCTGAAATTTTTCACAGAGAGGATCCGTCATTTCTAAGCCACAGCTTGACTACAATGTGTTAAACACTATCGCATAGAAACAGCTAAGTTGGGCAGCAATGTTAGCCACTTAGCATTGGCTAACAGTCTTCTTGGCATTAGAAACTTTTTTTTTTTTTTTTTGGTGGTTACATGTTTTTCAAAATTAAAACGACCGCAGTGCTGTTAAAACCTAAATCTCAAAACATTGGGGGAGTGGTCTGGTTCAACTTGTATCTGTTTAACGTAAAACTATTCATGAAAACTTGTGAGCAGATATGAAAGGAGCCATTTCAGCATGCCGTTGCGATACCACCTCCAGCGTTTCATGCATTTACTGGAGACACACGTCTCTCTCTTCGTTTGCTCCAGGCGATGCTAACGAGGATGCTAATGACCATCATAACAGAAGCCCACCAGACCCGAGATTGACGCCAACTTGCCCGGTGCTGGTGATGATCCTCCGCACTCAGGCGCTGACACGGTACTTTTGTTCGTAAGAAGTCGTCAGCATTGTACTTCTGCATTGGCATCCAACTGACGTCCGATCTTTGTGTCTTTTTTTCAGAAAGGGGGTACGATGTTTGTGGAGTCTGTGGGTCGATGGGTAGCATGGGGCATCCTGCTCCAAGTGGGATTGGGTGTCTCCGCAGGAAGTTGCCCTCCTCGCTGTTCGTGTCGGCTCGAGACAAAGGAAGTCATCTGCTCTGGCAAACATTTAAACTCCATCCCGGAGGGCTTTCCCGGTGATGCGAAACACGTGGATTTATCCTACAACAAGATTCGGACCGTGGGACGCCGCCAGTTCTCTGGCCTCCATGAACTCCAAGATCTGGATCTCAGTGACAATATGATCTCGATGATTGAGGTGGAAGCTTTCCAAGGACTACAGAACCTCAGGACGCTTCGGATTAAGAACAATCGTCTCAAGATACTCCCTGTCGGTGTCTTCTCTGGCCTGTCCGGTCTACGTTTTCTAGATCTGAGCCAGAATGAGATTCTGGTCTTCCTGGACTACACCTTCAGAGAAACGGTGAATCTGCAGACGCTGGACGCCGAAGAGAATGACTTGGTGTTCATTTCCCAGCGAGCTTTCTTTGGTTTGCAGAGTTTGCAGGAACTCAACATCAATCGCAGTAATCTGACGTCCATTCCCACCGAGGCGTTGTCTCAGCTGCAGAGCCTCACGTACCTTCGCATGCTGCGTCTCACCGTTTCTACGCTGCCCAACAATGCTTTCCGCCGCCTGCACCGGCTGCGCACCCTCATTCTGGCCAACTGGCCCTCATTGGACACGGTGGCCGGCAACAGCTTGATCGGGCTCAACTTGACCGCTCTGGTCATCAGCAGCTGCAACCTCAGCGCAGTGCCATATTCGGCTCTGCGTCACCTGTCCTACCTGCGCTTCCTGGACCTGTCCTACAACCCCATCACTGTAATTCAAGGTCATCTGCTGCGGGACCTCCTAAGACTCCAAGAGCTGCACCTAGCCGGTGGGAACCTGTTGCGAATAGTGCCGGGGGCCTTCAAGGGCCTTGCCTCGCTCCGCATGCTCAACTTGACATCAAACCAGCTTACAACTTTGGAGGAGAGCACCTTGCACTCAGTAGGGAACCTTCAGGTGCTGAGGTTGGACGGGAATCCCCTGTCCTGCGACTGCCGTCTGCTCTGGGTGGTCCGTCGGCGATTACGTTTGAACTTTGACGGACGTCAACCCACGTGTTCGTCCCCTGACACCGTTAGGCAGCGAGAATTCAGGGACTTTTCCGAAAAGGAGCTGCCAAGGGTGTTCACCTGCCGACCCGCTCGAATCCTGGACCGTAGGCCGCAGGAGGCCAGGGTGGAAGACGGCACCACCGTTCTCTTCTCGTGCAAGGCAGATGGGGATCCTGCTCCATCCGTCACCTGGATCTCATCTCACAGGAACGTAGTTTCTCCGGCGGGAAGAATCAGAGTTTTACCCAACGGTACCCTGGAGGTGCGGTTTGCGCAGGTCCATGACAGCGGCACATATCAGTGCCTCGCGGGCAACGCCGCCGGCAACGACAGCATTACAGTCGGCCTCTATGTTAAGGGGGGCTCACGCAACCGGACCATCCCCTTCTTCACAGAGGAAGACTGGTTAGAGCCCCCGATTCCACAAGCCACCAACTCCTCGGCCCAACTGGCAAAGCCATACCCCTTTGACGCCAAGACCCTGATCATCGCCACCACCATGGGCTTCCTGTCCTTCCTCAGCTCGGTGGCCATCTGCTTCATCTTCATGTTCTTCTGGAGCCAGAGCAAAGGCCAGATCAAGCACACGGCCACCATCGACTTCGTCCCTCGCTCTTCCATGGGCGGCGGAGGGGACGGCGGGGACGGCGGCAGATTCACCATGAAACTTATTTAAAGCCAATTAAGTGTTCACCGTTTTGAGGACTACTCGAATGTCTTTCAGAGAGAAACTTTCTTGGGCTTGTTAGAATTTGAGGGCAGGGGTTTTCAAACGTTTTGGGTCTTGGGAACACTCATAAGGACTCCCCTCATGGGGTGAGTGTGAACCTCACTGCAATAGAGATTAAAAAAATGAACCATTTGAGAAAGAATTCCAAAAGCTACAATAACAAATTCCATTTTTTGGACAAAATTTGGTTCTAAGACTAAAGATTCTTCAAGAAAAAAAAGTCAATCATTTGGCTTCCATTGCCTAATTGGTTCCGTGGCCAACCTCGTAAATCAATTTACTCGTATTACAAATCAGTTCTGCCCACTGAAAGAAAATGAAATGCTATTCACCCATTCCAGGTCCCCACAAACAGCCAAAAGATTTTGGTTACACGTTTTAAATGGAAAAAAAAATAGCGCTGTTTTGTAAAACGTTCATATAAAACCACACAAAACATAATAAAAGTGACTATAAAGACATAAACTGGTTTAATGTGTAATTAGTCACACACACACACACACACACACACACACACACACACACACACACACACACACGCACACGCACACACACAGTAGGGGGCGTGGCCTTGTAAGTGACATCATTATCTGCAGTCGCGGGATGAGTTCAGTTTTAGCTTCTTTCGTACCCCTTGAGATGCAAGGATGTCCCTTAAAAAAAATGGCATCTAATAATGCATCGCAAACTCTTTTGCAGACTCCCAAGTTACATTTCAAGGACCCCAGTTTGAGAACCGCTGCTTTCGAGCCATGTTTTCATCTTAACCAACAATCATCCTCACCGTGCTCGCCGTGCGCAACTTTGCTGCTCTCACTAACATCAAAACATGTTCAGATGCAAATATTACTCTAAGAAACCTTTCAAGTGCTTGTTCCAGCGTCCATTTTGTAACGTTTTCATTGCCAACACGAGTAGACATGCTCACTGTGAACACCAGTCAGAAAAAAAAGCAATAAATACAGTAGGTGGAGGAGATTATCGTAGCTATTGAGTGTCAGTTCTGATGCTTCATGTATATAGGAATGTGCCCTTTACCATTGGAAGCTTAAGCAGGTTTGTCAGGATCGTTTCTGACTTTATGATGACACCTATTTTGTTTTTGATAAGCAAGAAACCACTTCCTACTTGTTTTTTTTTAAATTTTATTTTGTACCAAACACGCTCGACAATATGTGCCTCATTTACTTCTTTTTGAATGAGAAAACGCTCCCGAGCATCACCGCTATGTCAATAACGAGGTCTTCAGTGTGTGCATGCTGGGTTACTTCTCGTGAGCCTATTAGCGTAATTGCGCAAGCCATTTACTTTCTTGCTAGCATGATAGCATTTAAAAAAAAAACAATAAAAAAATCAACGTGCTTGCTATAAAATGTTATTTGTCAGTAGTGTAGTTTCTCAGTCCTCCAGGTTATTCTAATCTACAAAGGCAAAGATGAATGTTGATTTTTTTCTGTTTTTGGTAAAAGTAAAAAAAAAAAAAATTGACTTGGGCAATTATGCTATTAGGCTATCATTTTTGTCATTCGTCTGACAATTATTATGTGTGACAACTATTAAATGCTTTCACAATGCACAGGTGCAGTGTTTTTCTTATTTTGCCAACCGGTTTATGAACACTTTGCCATTTAAAAAAATAAAAAATAAAAACATATACAGTAGCGTGCGTGCGTGTGTGCGTGCGCGCACACACACACACACACACACACACACACACACACACACATTTTTTTGTGGTGGGAGGCCTGGAGCAGATTAAAAGGATTTCTATTAATTTCAGTGCAGAAAGATGATTTGGTGTACAAAGTACTTAAACTTGGATCTCGGGGCATCACTGTACTTGTTTGTTTTCACACCCGTCAGTTTTCTAGAGACCTTTGTGTAAAAAAACATTAAAAAAGTCACTTCTTCCTAATAAATCCTCTTTATCGCGATTAAAGACTGTTGTTTCAATCTTCCATGTATTTTCTGCCTTGCCCTCTTGTTGTTACCCAACAGCAGATGAAAAAGAAAAAAAAAAGAAAAAGAAAGAAAAATCTGATCTAATCATCTTAAAAGCAAATCTTCCAACGGAGAGATCGTTGTATTGTTAGTGACAAAGGGAAGCACACATGCTTACATAACCAAAGCACTTAATCTGCACTCTGAGGACTTGGAATGGGGACCCAAAGTGGCCTGGTTGGAAGGCAACACAAAAGCGAGGATTATGTGCGCACCTGCACACACAAATGCAAATGCATTTGTGGATGTTTAGCGTGAATTGTACTTCCAAAGGGATATCTGCTATCATTTTGAATGTCCTATACACAAATATTTACGTGTCTGGAGTGCCTGCCCTCTGGTAAAGTGTGAAAATAAGCGATAGCACACACTTGCGTTAGCCAACAGTGTTACCAGCATTAGCTTATTTGAGGTTCACCATTTGCAAATTGATCTGTGCTTTTTTTTATTTCCCTGTGGAACTTATTTGTTGAAATACTCCTCTATTTTGAACTATCGGCATATTTTTTTAGCTCTTTCTGTAACGCCACAAATATTCCACAAATTGCTTTTAAAACATCCGCGAACTGTTATAAATAGCTAAAAAAAAATTAAATAATACAATGGTGCCTTGGGATGCAAGTGACCCAACTTAAAAGCTGTTTGAGAAACAAGATGATTTTTTTTTTGCTTTGACCTGCAAGCAAAAAATTTGAGATACAAGCCCTGTAAGGTGGCAACTCACTTCCCAACAAAAAACAGCCAGATGTTAAAGTCATCAAGAGACCTCAAGCTGTTTATTACCACGCCCGATTAATTTGACTGTCAAACTAAACATAAAACAAAGATAAGTGTTGTACTGTATATGTGACAGCCCATTTCCCATTCAATGGATATTTGAACACAAATGGTGGAGCAACACATGTTGAAAGGTAAGACAACAATATGCACGGGCATGTAATCTTTATCCTACCCCAAAATGACTTTTATGGTCATTCCATGTGCGATATTTGAATATATCTGTCTTGTACTGCCCCCAGGTGGCCAAGGTGCGCAAAGTCCATTGAACCGAAGCAAAAAAATGTGGCAAAAATTGTTTAAACTCTTCACATTCCACTTAATTCTTATTTTTTCCATGTCTTCAATTTTTCCATGTTAAAAATGCATCACAAAACCAGTTTTTGGTGGGAAGGCTGAAAAGGATTTATGGAATTCCCGTTCCTTTCAGTGGGGAAATACGATTTGAGATATGAGTGTTTTGAGCTCGACTGTGATCACAGACTGAATGAAACTCACATCTCAGGGCATCATTGTATGTCTCCTTTAAGACCACCGCGATACGGCGGACTGAGAGCACATTCATCCGCTGGGCAGGGATAACCCAGAAAAAGTGAAAACATCCCGTGATCACGTGCGCGGATTTAAAGCCTTTTGGATTACCTCTCAACCGTCTCAATCTGTTATGTAGGTCTCTCTGCCGGCTCGCATGGCGCCTATTTTTAATACCACCACTCGCTCTCTTCGGACGCTACGCCTCAGGGTTGGATTAAAGTTACCTTGGCCTGCTCGGAGTGGCTACACACACGACCTCACGGCTTGATGGTTTCCCTTTCGGGTTATTCTCAGGCCATGAGGATAATTTATTTACAAACAATGAGCACAGGGACCCAAATGTCAAGCAAAGAAGAGACATGAAAGGAGGCAGAAGTTTAGTCTGGAAAAAGCGCAGACGTAAATGAATAGCAAACAGTAGTAGCAGTCGAAGGGGAGGGAATACAGAGTGTCGTAGGAGAAAACAAAGGAGTGAAAATTTCGAAAGTACAACATGCAAATAAAATGTGTTTTTAATGAACACCTTTTTAGAAATTTTTTTTCAAAGAATGACACACATTTGACAAATTCTGCCAGGGGACGCAAATTTAGAAGCACAACTGGAGAATCGTATTAAACCAGTGCAGAATCCAGGTCCTCATATGGAGCGTTCAAAAAGTTGATGCTGCTGCCATCTAGTGGCTGAAATTCTCACGTCCAATCATGAGCCCAAATTACATCATAGTATTTTTTTTTTTACATGAACATAAAATGTATTTTGAGTCACTCCAAAAATTGACGAAGTGTCGTCTGACAGTTTGATGATGAAGCGCAGCCTCCAACAGCAAAAAAACAAAAACAAAATTGAATCTTTATATTTAGTGCTCACTTCACTCCAATTCGGGGTATTAAATTAGCCAAGAGGGCTTTTAGTCTCATCGCTCTCACATCACAGAACGCATCAATATGTACTCAAACGTAAAATTGCTCTTTAATAAATCTATTCGTGTGTGCAGATTACTCCAGACGGGTTTTGCTTGTCGAATACGAGTTTTGCTCTGACAATTCAACAAAGGCTGACATGGAAACGCACAGAGGCTGAAATCGGATTGGAAAAAAAATGACCGGAAAGTGCAACCGTTAAAATAAGGACAACAGAACGTGAACTGAGTTTGTCAATATAAATCAGTGAAGGTCTTGCTTGCACTGACCGTTTACCAAATGACAGATTACAGTCTTGCCTTCGTTATCCAAATCAATATCTGCATGGTTAGCAAAAACTTGCATGAGCTTCAAAAAGCAGCACGGAGCCACGTTATAACGCACTAGCAGTGTTACCAATGTGTTAAAAGCGCAACAACAGGTGGTGTGCGTAATGTGCGTGCGTGCGCGGATCTGTGAACGAGCGTGTGTGCGTGTGTGCGCGCGCGCAGCCAATTGTTGCCAAGCGCCTGCGAGGTGGAGCTTCTTTTTCTCGCCGCGACTCATCCAAGTCATCAGCCGGCCAGCAGCGCGCAAGCAACGGGCACTGAGGACGCGGCAGACCCCCTCGGAAGGAAGCCAACACGGGGAGCGTCAAGCATAGGATTCTTTGATTATTATTATTATTCTTGAATCATTTCTGACCATTTTTTGCGGGTGTCTTTTTTTGGCGACGATGAGCATAAAGATGAACGCGCTCCATCATTATCATCACCTCCTCCTTCTCGCGGGGCTTTTTGCCGCCGCTGTGACGGCAAAGCCGGCCAGGCTGAAATTCGTAGTGCACGGTAAGCACAGCTGCATTGTCGTTATTAAAGATTCATCTCACTTTTTAATTTTATCGACGCGTCCAAATGAGTTTGGACGCCTGGCGGGCGCAAGTCATGAAATGTCCCCTCCCCCAGTTGCTGCTCAAGTCAATTAAATTGATTCCATATTTGGTGGGAAAAAAGAATAAATCAAGACATTATTTGCGAAAATATTCCGTTCGATGATGAAGATTTGCTTCAGGTCGGCGCGAGCCCCAAGAGGCGGGCCGGCTGCTTCGTGGGCGCTTTAACAATTAGCGCACCGAGACGCCTGTCAATCACGCGCGGGCACATACACACGCACGCAACCTCCATCCTCCTCGCGCGCGCGCAAACACACACACACACACACACACACACACACACACACACACACACACACACACACACACACACACACACACACACACA